TGTGTGTGTGTGTGTGTGTGTGTGTGTGTGTGTGTGTGTGTGTGTGTGTGTGGGAGCCGGCCCCGCTGATGTTTGAAAAATGCACCCACTCAGCCTGGAGGTCTGGAGATGGCGCGGTGGGACCGTTAACACTTCTAAGCCTGAATTTGGGTATTACACAAGTCCCTGGATGCATAATTCTGCAGAGCTTGGACCACACCAGAAGACTTTTAAAATCCCAAGACTGGTGTTCCATCAGATCACACATTCGTCAGGCTTTAGTAGTGACTGTTCACATCTCTGCCGTTAAGCAGCTAAAACAACAGGATTATTATAGGATTTGTACAGATTGTAAAAAAAAAAAAAAAAGAAGGCAAACTTCTTGAATAGTTGAGTGTTAAATACAAGCAGCAAGAACTTGAATAAAACGTAACAATTTTAAGCTATCTGACATATAGATACCAGATACCTGGTGCTTTTGCCACAGTTTGGTACCTAAAGTGAGGGTTTTATAAAAGGATGCACTGATCCAACTTTTTCCTCTTCCAGCACCTATTCCCATACATTTACTAGTCCTGTGCTCCACTAGTTTAAAATCACCTCAGCACGTGGAACTCATTTTTATGTCAGGCAACATGAAGCCACAGACTGCTGTCGCATTTAAATAGTTTTGACACCCTTGACCGGAGTCGTTGGTGTAATGTCATGTGGACGCAGCTTTGATGCACTGCTCAGGGAATAGTGGGTGTGTGTGGGTGTGGGTGGGTGTGTGGGTGGGTGGGTGCGTGTCAGACCATCAACAGAGTCATGTGCATATGAAATGTTCCCAATAGCCGCGCTCTCTCCACAGCAGGATGAGTCACTTTGTGAGGCAGACGTTCATGTGTGCATGGACACCATCAACGCCCACGTCCGTTGACGCCAAGGTCCCAGTCCTAATCACTCCTGCGGGTCCATTGTTGTCCTTGGTGGCGGGGTGGGTTGCCAGTGAGGCACACTTAAGCCCCTCCCTCCCCCACACCAGATCTTTTTGTTGTGTGTGTGAGGAGGGCGGGCCGCCGGCTGAACGCCACAGCCTCTGTCTTGGCATGTGGATGGAGGGGAGAATGCTTTCAACAGCTGTAGCTTAGCAACAGTAGCTCGGCCACGTTGCTAGGCAGCCCTTTTTCATAAAATGCGCCCCCCCCCCAACCCACCATCTTTAAGTCACTTCCCCTTCCATCATCCGTTTTGTCCAGATAGCATTGGTTTGAGTTTGATGTTTGAGTCATGAAGCGCTTTAGGCAACGTCCATCTGCACATTTACATTCGTGGAAATTGTTTGCGCTTGGAAAAGCAATGTTTTTTGGGGGGGGAATACCACACCACCACACCACAGAGTCTACAACTTTTAGGTGTTAATTTCCTGTGCTCTTTCCAGTCAGAATACAGCATAACAGCCCGTAACATATATCAGTTTCCTGATCTCAGATTCACATTCCAGAGTGCTGAACCTTTGACACCGATCAGATTAGCCAAACTAGATCCAATGTTCTTGATGCTTGAATGCAACACGTCGATTGCCTCGGTGGCCTCAGAGCCCCTCTGCGTTTTAATGAGTGACTCCACCACCCCAGTGGGGAGAAGCATATGGACCTTAATTACCAGGTAGAATGTGAGGGGGAAGGGTCCGTCTGCCCCATCCCTAACTGTCCTTTTTTAAACAGATCACCCTCTGTTCCCCCTCAGATTAATGTGCCGTCGCATGGCCCTGTAATAACACACTGGGGCCAGACTGGAAAGAAAACGCGGGAGTCCATTAATTAGGGTGAGAGGCCCCATCGGCTCTTTGTGTCAGCCATTCTGGGCCTCAGCGGCGTCCCCAACTGCCCGAGCATCAGCTCACAGCCAACGTGTTTCTCCGGGAAAACAAAAGGGAGGACAGTTATATTGTTACCCTGATATTAGTTTCAGTATCTCTGCACTTATTTCCCCAGTATTCTCCATCTCCACCGTTTCCCAGGGCCCACTACAGAGTAGATCAAGTGATACTAAGTGGTTTTAACGTGACACAGTCGGGATCATATTTCCTCACGTCTCACTCCCAACCCGTCCTCCTCTCCGTCTCTTTCTTTAGGCACCAATGAGTCGAGCTTTGTGAGAGGGCAGCAGTCGGCCCCGTGTGCTGGATGTCTGTGACAGACCCATGGGCCAGAAGGACCATGTGGAGGCAGGAGCAGGCCACATCCTCGACCTGGGGCTGGATTTGGAGTATCTCCACGTAGCGGGGTCTGACCGGCAGGCTGGCGCCTCTGACGGGCCCCCTGCTATGGAGGAGCAGGGGGAGCGCTCCGGCAACAGCGACACCGCCGATACCCCTCCCCCTGCTGTGGCGGAAGAAAACGCCGGGTCTGATGCAGAGTGCGAGCCACCACCGCCGCTGCCGCCACCGTCTTCCAGCGCCGCCCCCGCTGCTGGCACCGACCCGGATGGAGGAGAGGGAGGGTTAACTCACAGTAAGAACGCCCACCAGCCGCTTTGTCGGACCCAATGTGTGGACTTAGGCACCGAGGGTCCTCCTGAGCCCCCGTCTGAGCCCTCATCAGAGCTTGAACAGGAGCCCTTGTCCGGCTCGCCATGCAAGCACCCACCAGAGCCTCCTTCCAGCCCCTCCTCATCAGATCCGGTGCCCGAGGCCGGCGTTAAGGAGTACCAGGCGAAGCTGGAGTTTGCCCTGAAGCTGGGCTACTCGGAGGAGACGGTGCGACTGGTGCTGTCCAAGCTGGGCCCCGACACCCTCATCAATGACATACTGGGAGAGCTGGTCAAACTGGGCACCAAGTCGGACAGCGAGCAGCCGGCCGGATCATTAGCCTCTACCTCATCTTCGTCGTCGTCCTCTTCCTCTTGTGGCTGTTCTGATCTGCTGGATAGCCAGCGGTCGGACTCGCCCTGTCCGTCAGACTCTCTGAGCGACCAGGACAACCTGCGGCCAGTTGTGGTGGACGGCAGTAATGTAGCCATGAGGTGAGCAGACACATTACTTATATTATGACAAATTACTGTAAAATGTCCTTCGTTGATTCCATCATGTGCTGAATAACCTTCATTAAATCCCCAAATGTTCATCTTCTATGACCGTCTGCCTCCTCTATGTCTCAGCCATGGCAACAAGGAAGTGTTCTCCTGCCAGGGCATCCAGCTGGCTGTGGATTGGTTCCTAGAGCGTGGCCATCATGACATCACAGTGTTTGTGCCTGCTTGGAGAAAAGAGCAGTCTCGCCCTGACGCCCCGATAACAGGTCAGTGCGAGACTGAGTGACACACACACACACACAAACACACACACGAGATGCTTTCAGTTTTCTAAACCTTAACCATGACCCCCCTTCCCACACAGATCAGGAGATCCTGCGTCGCCTAGAGAAGGAGAAGATCCTGGTCTTCACTCCTTCGCGGCGCGTCCAAGGTCGGCGCGTGGTTTGCTACGACGACCGCTTCATCGTGAAGCTGGCCTATGAGTCAGACGGCATCATCGTCTCCAACGATAACTACCGAGACCTGGCTAATGAGAAGCCCGAGTGGAAGAAGTTCATCGACGAGCGGCTGCTCATGTATTCCTTTGTCAATGACAAGTGAGTAGAGGCGGATTAGTGAGGGGGCCGATTCTGTCAATAAGATAGATCTTGATGACTTGGTGTCAAAACAACTGTGACATTTATGTCTCTAATTTTGGACTCGGAGGTCGTAGTTACACGACACCTTTCACATCTCATTCCCCATTATCATATCTGACATTTAGTCTAACAAATGCCACGAAGGCTGACATTTTCTCTTGGTTTAAAAAGGAGAATTACAGTTGTTTTTATTCTGTCTACTTCCTCCAATTTACCCCGAAACTGAGAGACCTAACATAAAGAATGAGCACCGATTTTTACAATCCCCGTCGTCCTTAACCTAAACGTCGTATAACTCACTTGTCCTTTCTGATCCTCCCGTCCTGTCTCTCAGATTCATGCCCCCAGATGACCCTCTTGGTCGTCATGGCCCCAGCTTAGACAACTTCCTGAGGAAAAGACCCATCATGCCTGAGCAGAAGAAACAGCCTTGTCCATACGGTGAGAAACGCACAGAAATAACAATACATGTGATAACATCACGTATGTATTGCAGGTTTTGCATCATGTTTGTTGAAACCATGTAATGAAACTGAGACCGTTTGCCTCCAGGAAAGAAGTGCACTTACGGCCACAAGTGTAAGTACTACCACCCAGAAAGAGGTGCTCAGCCTCAGCGCGCTGTGGCTGACGAGCTGCGTGCCAGTGCCAAGACCTGCGTCACCACAAAGAACCAGGGGGACACCGGTTTGGTGAAGAGCCACAGCGTGCCAGCTGGCAGCATTGAGGCAAGAAAAGGCGCCCAAAAAAGGCAGTCGGACCCCAGCATCCGAGCTCTGTCGTACGGCGATGCCGAGGAGAAGCTGGCGAAGGGGAGGGCGGAAAGCCAGAAGAACAGCATGTGTGGCAGCAGCAGCAGTAGCAGTGGGGTTATAAGCATGTCCTCAGCCCCAGGAGGCCCCCCATCCACTTTCAGCCTTCCCCAGGACCAGCAGTCCAGAGCAGTGACCCCCCACAGTCTACCAGCCCCCAGCCATGACCTTTACCCTCACTGTGAGTCTCCAGACTTGAGCTACTACTCATTGACGCGTGCTTACTCCGGCCTGAGCCTCTCCTCCAGACGGAGCCCAGACTGCCGCTTCCCCAACGACACGGACCTGCGTCTCGGCTCCATGGGCTCAGCGGGCTCCGAATGCGGCAGCGAGAGCAGCGCGAGTTGCGGCAGCAGCTGCGACTCGTACAGCGAGAGGCCGTGTCCCGGCTGCCCCCCAGAAACCTTACTGGACGACGGCGTCCATTTCGCTAATCCCCACAGCCGGCTGTATCCCCACCATGCCGCGGCGAACCATGAGCTATGTGGCCTTCATCCTGCCGATTACTCGAGCATGCAGCACAGCCACACGTCTAACGCAGGAGTACACAGCTACCACCTGAGTGTGGCGCGCGGACAGAACTGCGCTCACGATCAGCCTCCACCGGAGGCTCCTCCAAAGCGCCCTCTCTACCCGTTGCCCCCTCATCTCCAGCACCAGCCGCTGACCGCTCGCTCCAGCTGCCCGGGCGACTACCACTCTCTGCCCCAGTCCAACCCGCACCCCCCTGGGTCCCCTCTGGGCCGCTGCCTGGCCCCGACGCGAGGAGAAAGTGTGTCAGACTCGCATCTTTATGAACACCTCTCTACGTCGCACCATCACCACCGGACCAAAGCGTTGCCCAGCTGGGACACGTACTACAGGCAGCCTCTGCTGCCGCCGTCCAGGTATGAGCCGTCCGCCTATCAGAGTCTGCCGGACACACGCCAGGCGTCCTGGCACGCCCCTCCCTGGGCACAGGAAGGCTACACCCACCACCACTCCTCCCACCCAGCTCTCCACCCATCGCCGACACACTACTTGAGCCACCCGCCGCCCCAGGCCCACTCTCCCCACCCACCTCATCCATCCAGCACTCCCCTCCCGCCATACCCGTCTCACAGCGCTCACCTCGGAGTGCCCTCCCACGCTGCTCCCTCCTACATGCCGCAGCACCCAGAATCCCCCGCACACAGCCGCTACGGGGACACGAGGGAGAAAGTGTACGTCAACCTGTGTAACATCTTCCCCTCGGAGCTGGTGAGCCGCGTGATGGCCAGGAGCCCCCATATCACAGACCCCCAGCAGCTGGCAGCTGCTATACTTGCAGAGAAAGCCCAAACAGGCTACTGAAGAACGGAGGAAAGCCGAGTCTCCCATTAGAAAGCAGTAGCAGTCATGTAGTCTAGAGTGGAAATAGGAAAACACAAAGTGTGGGTGCTTTGCTTCAGCAGAGCAAACTTAAATTTGCCTTTGCAACACTTGACAGCACGTTGGATTTGCATGGTGGAACTTTAAATACTGCAATGCTTTTGGATTGTCTATGAGGAGAGCTTTTTTTTTTCCCCCTCTCTTCTCATGATGTTAACGAGACAACGCATACGTTTCTCTGGTCCCTACGCAGCGACAACTCAACCTGTAAGAAGTGTAGGCAGATCGTTCCAGACCTGCCCAGTTAGTCGTCTTTTTATTGATCTAGTAGCTTATTATTAAATGTGACTTTCACACGCAGGCATCAAATTCAAAAGGCACTTTTTGTGCTCTGATTGACTTTTCTTAATTTGTTATGTGGCAGATCCACATCTGTAAAACTCCCATCGTCATCACGTGACAGTTTCAAAATTACTATTTGGCCACGGTCCGTGTACTATATCAATCTCTTTATGTGTGTTGTGAGGCCATTTGTGGGGCTTTTTCCATGTTGGTTGAAATGGGTGTCTGAAAGGCGGTCGTCTTATTTGAGATGACGTCAGTATTTTGGTCAGAGTTGTAGCTGTAGAGATGGGTGACCCTGTCGTGTGTACCTTAGTTTTAGTAAGGGACCTCTCTCTCTCTCTCTCTCTCTCTCGCTCTCTCTCTCTCTCTGGCCCTTTTATTTCGGGTCAACTCTGGTATCTGCTACAGACAGAGAACATCTGAACATCAGTAAATCAGACGTGTATGTATTGTAAATATATTTAACAGACTCCCCCTGCTGTGCTTTTGGCTAACAGCGTCTCCGGTTGTCTGTCGCAGATCCCGGCTGAATCCATTTGCTAGACAGAGAAAAACCTTGTTTGATACAAATTGTATCATGAACTACGTCGCTGATGTTATATACAGTACATGGACGTGTTGATCCGTATCCATCAAACACTCTTGATGTATTGCTGTACGATTTAAAATGCATTGACAACAGTTACGTTCCAATCGAGATGCTCCGACTTTTAATCTTGTGGGCATTGCTTTGACACAATTATTTCAAATATGTTAAGAAACAAGAGGAGTTGTCTGCCTATGTTTAGGTATCGCAGCTTCTTTATTTGCTCTTTTTGGGTTTGAAGCTGGCTTATTTGCTACAGAAGCTCCATTTATATCCTGTGAGAAATATGCTTTTGGTTCCTGGTTGAAAGTGAACTAGTCTGTTTTTTGGCAGTGAGGTTGGGGTCAGGAAGTGGATGCTTGAAATAATAGAGAATTGACGTATTATCATTAGCTGATCTATTGTTTCTGTTGAATCATGAATTGAGCGGACGGACCCCGACCATGTTTCAGAAGTAAAGTTTTATATGTGGGTCAGTCCCATAAACCATGGTCGCCATTTTGAATGTCTGTAACACTCTACCAAAGCTCTACCTGGAGTATCTGCTGATATATAAAGCTGTTTTTAAAGAAATCTCAAGAATAACAACGACAACTGTTTACATATCTAATCTGCTCGCTTCTTTCCAGACACAAAGGACAATTATTTAAAAACAAATGTGGCCACAGTGCATAAATGTAGCTTGAAAAACAACGACATAAACAAAGAAAAAGTTTCAACTTCTCCACACGCAGGAAGCTACCTAAGCCGTGACGTGTTTAAGTGTGTAACCTGCCTGTGGCCTATTGCATGCTGGGAAAGTAGAAATACCCACACTTCTATACATAGTACGATGTATATTCTGAAAGCTAGTATCGATGAGCTGTTCTTCAGGTAGAGCTCGATCAAAGTGTAACGCAACTTCAAAGTGGCTGCCGAGGAATTAAGAGTGTGCAGAGTGAGCTCGTCACACAGTTTATCACAACGTGTCACATTGTGCAAGTAATGATTAGTTGTACAACAACGCGTGCCGTTGATGAGAGAGAACCTTTGTGTGTATTGAAGAAGCGCCTTCTCTCCGGCCTCCTGGCACTGTGTGTCAGTGTGGCCCCTGAGCGTGGGCCCAAAGTAATGCCTCTTCATGGCATTGTGCTTATGACACATCCAATACTCTGAACTATGTTCAGCTAACTGTTATGCATGTTTTTGATTTTGTTTCCGCACGTTTCCTTGTGTTTTTAATTTGTGTACATAGCCGTGTTTGTGTCCTGGAAGCTTTGTCCTGATGTTACTGTGACATGACCGCAGCTGAGACGCCTCTATAGGCTTACTTATACACTTGTTAATGTTTTATTTTACACATCGGTTAGAGTTGATTTCAGGAAAACACACTCCTTTGACACACAGTATAAAGTCAAGAGGGGTAGTATTTGTTTTTTATAAGGCTTGATATTTACTCCATAGGTTCAGGAAGCATGTTTTGGAAAGCATCCCACTTTTCTCCACATTGTTTGCTCTGGAAGTGCTGAAGATATTCAAGTTCTCGACCGGCCACGACACTAATACAATGAAAACCCTCTGTTTCAAATTACATTTCCATTTTGCCAGTAGAATAATGGTGTAACTAATTAATTATTGTAACATTCTCAACTGTAACTCGTGATTGTTCATTAAAGAGTACTGCTACAAAACATGTGATATCCTATTTGTATTGTTACAGTTAAGAAAGTCTTGTTTTAAGTGACTGTTTACAATATTTACACTTTAAAAAGAAAATGAATTTAAATATTCTATGTAGAAAACCCCTTACTGAATAATTGTCCTGTAACAGTAATATTACTCAGTATTATTTTGAGTAATATAAATATATTTCTTGTGACAGATAATTTACCTAAAAAAGGTATTTTATAATCAAGCACATGGTATTTTTATAGTTGCTGTTGGCCTAAATGATAATTAAATCTACTAAACTCTCACCGGTGAACTCTGACCCGATGACGCATGCGCACACAGTGACAACTTGAGTGGATCCTCACACGGGAGAAGTTCTCGAGTCCTCCTGAACCTGCTCCATAGAGACGTATGGAGGATAAAGTGAAACAGGAGAGGAAGGAAAACAACATGGAGAACTGGAGTTTATTGTGAGTTATTCTGTCATTATTGGGTTATTTAGTCAGAGGCTGAACGGACACACGAACAAACACGGACAGGTAGCTTCATTTGTAGCTAGCTCAAAGCTAACTTATGCTAACGTCTCTACAGTTGGTACTTTGACTGTTTGGGGTGAATAAACGAATGACGCAGCGGTCAAATTCACCTGAATCATGCGAGACGTAAACAACAGATTATTAAACATGGCGTTTTATATCGATTTTATATAGTTTTCCTACTGTTGTCAGAGGAAATCAACGCCACCTGTGGATGCGCAATGAAGTTAGCGCACATGCTCTTGAACTACATCCGGATGTGATGATCCTGTCTAGTCTGTTTCCGGTTTTATTTTGAAAGTTAATTTATGAATGAAATGAAAAAGACTGACGTTACATCATCAGTTTTTCCTGAGTGATGAAGCTGCTTGTTACATAAATTACACTTTTTATTGTTTGTCAATCATATTTATTGATACTGAGTGATATGTGCCCACTGATCACAGAAGAAGTCAGTCTTTTTCATTTCATTCATAAATTACGTTATTAATTTACGTTAGCATAAGTTAGCTTTGAGCTAGCTACAAATGAAGCTACCTGTCCGTGTTTGTTCGTGTGTCCGTTCAGCCTCTGACTAAACAACCCAATAATGACAGAATAACTCACAATAAACTCCAGTTCTCCATGTTTTCCTTCCTCTCCTGTTTCGCTTTATTCTCCATACGACTCTATGGAGCAGGTTCAGGAGGACTCGAGAACTTCTCCCGTGTAAGGATCCACTCAAGTTGCTGTCACTCGTGTGCGCATGCGTCATCGGGTCAGTGTTCACCGTTGAGAGCTAAGTAGAGCCTCAGCGAGATGACGCGGGGGGAGGAGTCTTCCATTGTCGGAGTCATTGTACCAAAAATACAAAAAATAAAGATTCAGGATAGGCTCAGCTACTCCGTTTCCAACATTGGCTTACAGAGCATCAATATTTTTATCGATATATATTTTTAGATACATATATACATACACATACGAGTATACACACACACCATAGGTTATGCTTCTAAACCAGTCTGTTGGTCAAATGTTTTGTATTCTTTACACAAGATATGTTTTTAAAGGTGACTGTTAGTCGCTCAGGCTTGAAGCCAAATCAGTCAAATGTATGAATTAATCTAGAGATTACAATGGTGATAAATCATCCTTTATATATAAAAAAAGAAAAAAAGGATAGAACTGAATCCAGATACATTATCAGGATATAAATCTGTGATACAAATGGGTCAAAACACAAGATCAAAATTTAAAACTTTTATTTCAGAACCAATGAAATGGACTGCAATCCATCTGTGCCATCTATCTTAAAGAATACCAACATGAAAAAAAAAAAAACGGCAAAACGTGACAGCTAGTGCCAGAGATCACATCACAGACACTGGCTTCAATGGAGGGGACAGGAGGGCCGATAACAGTCTGAAGAACAACGTAGTCTAACTGAAGCCTTTCAGACTGAGTGTGTGTGTGTGTCAACTAGAGTTTTCCCCTCCAATGAAGCTGCCCAGTAGAGATGTGTGCTGCTGGTTTAGGGTCTTTGAACACAATACAAAAATATGAGCTGGAAGCACAGGATCACTTTTTCACCTGCTATGGCAAACTAACAATAGACACTGACGTTAACACAAGAGGCTTCAGTGCTTTAACTTTAAAACTAATAAAAAAAAAATATCAACCTACACCAGCTGACAAGTATAGCATAACAAATAATTCCGTAACATTGTCATCATTTTGTAAATAGAAAAAAAGAACTTTATAGTCACTCATTTAAAAAAAGAAAAAGCCACTGGAACATATTTCCACCCCACAAAAGATGGAGTCAGTTTGTTTGAGCACAAATGATTCATTCATAATACGATTTAAGGGGAAGAAATTGGCCAAACCTTTTATTTGACTCAAGAGAGATTTGTAGAAATCACAATAGCAAGGTCCCTTAACATTAGAACTACCCATAATGCATCTCTGTATTCACAAGTCTCTCCGTCCCATGAATCCATTGCAGGTCTGCAAACCGTCTGAATTCATTATCACACAGGAGAGCCTTCTTTTGAATCTTGCGTGAGAACCAGATGCTTCACGGGACCCAAAAATAAAAAAAAAATGTCCACCCTCGACCGTTAATGTTCTCTTGAGATCCTGAACCCAACCAACGGAGCCTTCCCAGGAGCACCACTCAAGGATGTAACAGCAACCAAGTCAAATCGCGACCTTCCTTTTTGTTTTGTATTTTTGGAAGGGGGGGGGGGGGGGTTTGACTGTCAGTCACCACCGCTAACATTACTGAGGTAGAGATTTGTCCTGGGACAAGGACCGATGTTTTCATAAGCTCCCCAGCCAGAGAGGTGCCAGGTCTCATCTTACACATCTGTATATACTTTTCACCCAAACGGTTGGACAGGCAGACAAACAGCTGGGACACAGTACTCGTCACTCTGTTCCTCTGTCTGTCCCGAGTGTTACGCTTCCTTTGTGAGCCGGTAGGCAGAGAAAACCATCGATGGTGACTGGGAATGAAACACTGAGACACTACACAGCTAGCTTATCTTTATAACACTTCTAGGCTCACACGCTGTCTTATCACCTCTGCATGTAAAGAACATACTTTCCCTTTGTTACCTTTGCTACATTCCTTCATAGAAACTCGTCACGTGACAAGTTGGGTGGCTCTTTTCCCTACGAGGGTCAACTCACATACTGCTGTTCTTCATATCCAGCCTGAAATTAAACTTCTAAAATACTGCAGTGTCATTTTTCACATATAAATGTAACATTGAAATGACAGTTTGAATTGATTGATTAGAGTGAAAAGACCTCACAGCTGCTAAGAGAAGTAGCATGACTAGCTTGTGATATGTTTCAACATGGATATAGCATAGAGGCTGAATCCTAGTAGTGACCTCATTTATCCCCAAACTCCAGGCTTTATACACAGCCTGTAGCTTAATGTGTTCGACGGACAACTAAAAATAAGGGCGGGTCTAACTAAAGCAGAGGGAAGTCACTCAAAAACAAGGAGACGGGTAATCATTCTAAACCTTTGCATTCAAGTTGTCAAGCAAAGCAAAAAAACAACAACAAAAGTAGCTTTCTATGGCCATGTTTGCTCGAAAAAAAAAAAAAAAAAATCCAATTGCTTCCCCTTTGGTTGAACAGTTTCTCTTCTGTGCTTTAAGGATCACAGGGGATCTCTGCAGGACAAGATTTGCTTGTTCAGAGTGGCGTCCATATATGGAGATGTGGGGGCGGGACTTTGGCAAAGTTTGACAAGAGGATTTCTCAAGATTGCCTCGGGGTGTTGGGGGGGGGGGGCAGCAACTGTTGTCCATGGAAATTGAGCAGCCGCTGAGGGGACAGTTCTGGAGCAGGTACCCCTGAGGCGCTGCGCTCACATGGACTCAAACTCATCGATGCGCTGCTTCGTGTTACCGGATCGGATCTGCCGCAGCGTCTTGTATTTGTCTCGGCCTGCCTTCACGTTCTCCGCGTGGAGAACGTCGTTCTGCGTCTTCTTGGTTTCGTCTCTGGCCTCGGCCAACTCTGAGCTCAACGTCTGGGAGAGAAAAGAGACGGAAGGATGAGAGGGCGGTGAGGAAGGAGGAGGAAGGATAAAGACGAAGGAAAGAAGCAAAAGGTAAAAAAAAAAAAAGAAAAGGAAAAACAACAGAGGGGAAAGAAAAGGTATAAAGGTTGCAGAGAAGAGACGGGACAGAAGAGCAAAAATGGAAAAAATCATTTAAAATCAAGACTGATGCAAAGCCACTTATATACAGCCTCTGTGTGTGTCTAACATGTAAATCAGGGTTCCCACTAGAGATCATTTTCAATGAGGATCTTACTGGTATAACAGAAATGGACTAATACGTCTGATTTAAAAGACGTGTGCTGCCGTGTGAAGTGACTCCACAACATACTCACAAAACACTCTGGTCCATAAATACCATTTCATACCATGTCATACTTTTTGGGGAGCTCTGGTTAATAAAAATCTCTTTGGTTGCTGTTTGAATTCTTCTTGCCATAGCTTCAGTCCTGGCTTATGCAGTAGCCCAGCCTAGATCTACAGGCCCTGTCATGTATTCAAAGTGAGGAAAGATATTCAGAGATTTGATGTACTTTTATCGGATTGTTCGATTCATGACCAGTAGATCTTAAGAGCCAGGCTGCAGTCTAAGCCAGCAGGAGTTTAAAGAATGGACAGAGAAGGATGCATTATCTTACCCTCATTTGCCATTTCTTGGCTGGTGTTTCTTCTTTGCAACAAAACTGCTGTTAGAAAATAATATAATCTTGTTGTTATTTGTGAGACGCAAATCTCTTTTGGTTAAAGTAAAGAGGTGCGTTTATTTGAAAAGTTTTATTCAAAAAGGTAAGTTTTACACTCATTTTCGACCCCAGGTTGTTTTCTATACGAGGGTCATTTCTCATATATTCGATGGTACTTGTATTCTGTTATTAATCAAGTGTTAATAAAGCTTTTCAATGAAACGTTTCAGACTTTACTTGGAAGCATTCTCGCCAACCCTGGACCAATTTTTAAAGTCCCACTTTGGCAACCTTGATACGCGAATCGCCGCTGTCCGCACAATGAATTACTGCACAAAGTTGCATATATCACAGGATTTTGTGAGACTGAGCATAGTCCGCCCCGCTGACGGTCCCTCCTGGAGCCCCAACCCTGCCTGTAGCGAGACAGGACCCGGGAAGCGGCGAGGAGTGCCAACTGTGTACAGGCTGGCAGGTCTGGCCATGCTACATTGGACCCTCAAAGGTTTTGGCCCCTCGTTCTCACCTGCAGCTGTTTCTTCACCCTCTCGTTCTTCTGGGCTTCGGTGACGCGCGCCTCTTCACTGCGGAGGTCCTGCTGGCTGACGCCCTCATTGGAGAGCTCTGAGCTGGCCTCTGTGTAGTTGTCATCCTGCTCATCGTGCTCGTTTTCAGCATTGCCACCCGGAGGTCCTGGCACCACAGTCATGGCAGTCTTCAGCTCCTCCTTGGTCTTCTCCAGGTCCTCCTGGGCTGACAGAGCCTGGAGGGCATGGAGACAGTGTGAGAAATATACCCATCATGTTAAAAGACATGGCTGAACGTCTGGGGACATCTAAAGAAGCCGGTGTTCCCCTGTAATCCTGTACCTTATACTGCCATTCTGAGGCCTCATCGTCTTTCTTCCTCTTGGCTTCCTCCAGGAGAGCGATCTTGGCTGTGAATTCAGCCAGTTCAGCAGCCTGGAGAAAATATAGACCCCGCACCAGAGAATTGTGTGAACAAAAACTTTTGAATATCCATGTAAGCCAGCCTGTAGTTGCTCACACCATCAGTGAACACACACACACACACACACCAGTTGTTCCTGGGTCTTCTGCTGGTCTGCAGCCTGTCTGGCCAGCTCTGCCTTGGCCTCCTCCGCCGCCTGCCTCTCTCGCTCCAGCCTCTCGGCCTCCTCCCTCGCTCTCCTCCTCTCCTGCTCCAGCTCCAGGGCCCAGCGAGTCTGTTCCTCCAGCTCTGTGGAGGGCAGACACACCAACATGTGACACGTGATCTCATCCTTCATCTTTTATCAGGAGGGCAGCAGCAAAGAGGAATAAAAAGGTACCTTTCTGAGCTCTCATCGTCTGCTCTTCAATCTGCCTCAGCCTCTCCATGAGCTCGTCCTTCTCGCGCTCTATCCTCTCCTTCTCTTTCTCTGCGTACTCTCGCTTCTTCTTCTCATTCTCCAGCTGAGCCCTGAGAAGTTTTGTAATTACATCTTTCAGACTTTAATATAGTAACAAATACAGAGGAATGCAGCAAATGATCCTGACCTGAATAAAGGGCTGTTAACTTCTGCAGAAGCTTTAACTGAACACCTCAGATAATGAATGTAAAAGAGGAAAGACTGCCCTCTGGTGGAGAAGCTCTACTACAGCAGCTACTTTTGATTTCCATTAGACTTAAATATTCAAGTGGAAGTGTTTGGATATATATTTATGTATTGTCAAAAGTCAGTGAAGTGTATATACATTTTATATTATCTGCAAAACTTTGGACAGGCATATACATCAATTGGAATCGTATATAATATTTGAACTTCTTTTCCAGAAGGCTTTTCTCTGACTGTAGGACCAAACCAAATGAAGTACCTCTCCATCTGTTTGTGGTGCTTCTCCTCTCGGGCCTGAGCCTTCATCTGCTGCACCTCGATGGTGTCGGGCTTCCTCCTCCTCATGTACAGCTCGTGGTTCCCCATACACAACGCCAACACGCGCTTGTTGATGCGCAGTCGTGGAGCATAGAACACAAAGTCCTACATGAGAGGAACATATCCTTTAATGTGACGCAGGTCAAGTTTCCTTTATACGTTAAGAAGAAAGATGTTGTACTTTTAATAAATGGGACACTCACAGGCGCTTTCTTGTCAATAGGTTTGATGACAAACTTTTTGTCATTGAAAGAGATGTTTCGAATCTCACTCCAGGGGAAGCCAATCTTTGGGGTCAACCTGAGAAAATAAGTGGTGAAGAGTTTACACTTCAACTTGCGTCCCACTCATGTGGTGATATACAGAACAGTGGGTGTTACTCCGTTGGTTGTGGAAGGTTTTCTAACTTTCAGCCAGCAGATAGTGCCTAGTGTGAACAGACCATCTTACAGGAAATCATGAGACTGAACACACTTTCAGTTTTAGTGAAGAGTGACAGAAAAGAGAAGTAGGTGAATGAAACTTCTCACTTCCTGCCAAGAGTGGAAAGGATGGTGGGTGTTCTTTACTCAAAAAGAGCAAAAGGAAAGAAAGAAAATAGAAGGGAATAATAGATATTGAGGAAGTAGAAACTATCCCTCTTTCCTTCCTTTGTCCCCTGGACAAGAGAACAAGGATGTCAGTAGTGATGACTTCAGATAACAGACAGGAAGGGAAAAAGCAGTGAAAGGAAATGCTCCAGAAGTTGTGATAAAATCTATCCTTTCTTCCACGAAGGGTTGAAGACAATATCTCTGACCTGAGAGGACAGGAAAGACTCCTACACAGGACAGTCTTCCTTTCTCCACCCCCCCCCCCCCCCCCTTTCGGTTTCACCTCTAAAAATAGCGTCGCTTCCTCTAAACCTGGTCAACATTGTGCATGTCATGTTGGCATCGGGCTCTGACAGCAGTACAAATGGATCTATATTCTGGTACAGAGTATCAGATTTGGGGCCACTGCTACAACTAAATACAGTTTAAGAACATAAATAAATAAGTCAGTTACTGCAGACTGGCTTGTGAACACACTTACGTTTCCAAGAGATCCCCAAAATGAGTCAGTTGTTCACGAGCTGACCAATACAGATGAACTGTTCTAGTGCTTACAATATGTGCTCTGATCTGCACATAATCCCTGTCCTTTGGACATTAGATAACGTAAGTCCTTGAAAAATCTATAAAACATATTAAAAACTGCACTCATATGAAAAATAATCCAATAGACAAAGACAGAAACTTACAGAATCACACTATTGTGGTTTGCTTTGTATTTTTCATCCATTTTGCTAACAAACAAGACAAAAGGCTCTGATCTTGAGATGAGGTTGGGTGGTTGAGTAGAACAGACAGGCATCGGTTTGTGGTGCGTTGCATCATAAGCCTCCACCTACTCACTCGTATCTCATGTCTGCTGCGGTTAAGTAATCAACTGCAAGCCACAGCTCCGATGCCCTTGTAATCATGAGCTTGTATATACATCAGTATTGATTATTTATCGGGGTTCCCACACTAAACACAACGCATCCAAAATTCGAAAAATAAAAGAGTGTTTGACTCTGAAAGCTGAGGTCTTAACACGTCTCAGTGGTAACTAAAAACTTCACTGTCGGGCCAATAGGCCATTTTATAGGATTAGACTGAATTTTCCCCCAGAATGCATCACTTATTTTGTAAATAAACTCAACGTCTGTGTGTGTGTGTGTCCCTTACTTGTCTTCGTGTTCGTAGATGTTGAGGCCAAGGGCATCCACGCCCAGCCACAGCTGTGTGCCCTTCTTGTTTTTGATCTCAAAGTAGTTGACGCCGTACATCTCTAAATCCTGGGCAATTTTAAGATATTCCATCATCGAGTCCTCTCTAAAAAGGAGGACAAGCAGGAGTTAGAAGACTATATATAACGTATGTTTTATTAAAAAAACATTCACTGATATATAGTGATATGGATCTCAGGAGAAGAAGAAGGAACCTCTGACACATACCTGAGCATTGCTCGGTGTTCTTCGTGCCAGGTCTGTATCCTGTCCTCCCACTGCTCCTTGGTCAGCTTGTGCTGCTCCAGGACTCTATGCACACAAACACAATGACTTCACCTCAAGCAACGGTTTCCTCCAGAGGAAATCATTGAAAATTCCAACAGGGCACAAAACAACATTCCAGGTTTCAACAGGTCTGTGTATGATAACTCGATACTCACAGCAGAGCCTTATACATTGTGACATATGCTGTGTGTGTACCTCTGAGGCAGCAGCCTGTCATGGGTGAGGTACCCAGGCTTGTGGACATCTTTGGTGTAGTCTCCATACTTGGCCTGGACTGAATATGACGCCAGTAGCACGGCTGTCTCTGGGGGACAGTAGTTCTCATCGTTCAAGATGGCCTCCTTCACCTGGTGAAACAGGAGGGAGGGAGTTAACAAACGGAACTTATTAAATGTATTTAAACTATAAATTTCAGATCATTTGAGCTACACCAGTGAGAGGCTTCTTACCTGCAGGAAGAAGAGTCTCTGGGTGATCTCCTGAATGAGTTCCTCCGAGACATCCTCGGGGAAGAACTTGGCCCTGAACTTAAACTGCAGAGGGTTCTCTTTCTTCACATCCTGCTGAGTCACCTGGAAGACAGACACAACATCAGCATCCGATCATCTATTCATCAGCATAAATGTTTGTAATCTGGCCAGATCTTTTGATATATCTGGGGGACATGTGTTACTGGGCTCTCACAGATCATCCAGACAGCCCTGCATGTGTCTACAGTGGCTGGAGGGCCTCAACAAACACACACATCTGTGCTCATAACACACACACACACACACACACACACACACACACACAGGTTTCACAGCACTTCAATCTAAGCAGAATTCACTACATTTTTCTGTACCCCCTGCTGCCTCACACTCACACACTTGTGGAGTGTGAGGGGGGTTTCCTCTCAGGCATACTTTAAAAACACACACACACTGTAACAGCAGGAGTGTTAAGGCTGAAGGGTGTGTTGGCCTGAGCGAGAGAGGAAGTCTGTTAAAAAAAAAAAAGAGTCTCCAGACCACAGCAGAGCTTCTAGGCAAAAAACAGACACTGACTGATGAAAGACAAACAGATAACATGGGAAGAAAAGCAAAAGAGAAAGGCCCTGAAAAAGAACTAAAAAGAGAAGGAGGTAGATACAGTGAATGTAGGGTAGGGTAAGACAGACCTTCTTATTGAGTTTGAGCCAAGTGCTGTAACCTTTACTGTCCACATACTGGAGGCCGAAGAACCAGACCTCCCGCAGGCCAACCGTCTTCACCACCTGACAATAAAACAAACAGGAAGTCTTACAGGTGCTGAAAGCATCATGTTAAAAACAATGTTAAACTAAGGCGCCTGCAGAGCGTACAAACCATGAGCTTTTAGGTTGTGGTTATGTCACTCACCTGGTCAAAGAGCTGCTTTCCTGTGGTATTAGGTTGGATGGCAAACTCCAGCTCTGCATCCATGGTGGTCACACGGACGTTGATCTGGAAAACACAACAAGGGGTTTATTTTGTTTGCCATATTACACAAAGAAAGAGATTTCACAC